AATCAGTAAGCTAAAGTGGCAATAGACTGGCCATATAGCTCGAAGAACCGACAACCGACGGGGAAAAAAGGTTCTCGTTCCGGCGGACAAAGTGTAGGGCGTCCCCCCACTAGATGGAGTGATGACCTGGTAAGACATGCAGGAAGTGGATGGGTGCAGGTGGCTGAGAACTTTTTTCTTTTTCAGAGCTTTGTGGCATTCGTTGGGGGAGGCCATGTTCACCAGTGGACTTGTGAAGGGCTGTAATGATGACTATGATTAATCAGTGACAAAAAATATCCTTACCGAATGAGCGCTCACTCGAACATTTGGGTGCACTTTTAATTTGTACGTAGCTTTGTGAATATAACTTTAGACAATGCATGTAAGGTTGAATTTACATTAATGTGTATTTATTTCAACTAGAATTACGTCAAAACAATTGACCACAGTTTCTAGAGAACTTTTGCATGAGATTGTGTATGTATTTCTTTATTAGTGATCGATGTTTTCTGTTTAAATATTTTCCAAATTCATAATATAAGCAAAAATTGTATTTATTAACAAGCGCCATCTATAATTTGTTAGTAACATTATGTTGTATATTCACCTAATTAATAGTGCGAAACCTCATAGTTATACAATCTATGCTGCAGATTGCACTAAATATAATTAGTATTAATATCCAATATTCTTGCCATAGAAAATATTTTTTCATTTACATACAATTTGATTTTACATGTATCTTGATTCTTACGATACTATCTGTCTGACATACCTATAGAAAATATAAAATTGCGAATGTGGTATTAGCGTGGTACTATTATTTTTGTTCTGTGGTATTAGTCACGATGTAGGTATGTGCTTAGTACCCATGCACTTATGAAATGGGCATTATTATCAAAACAACAAGTTAGGTATTTATTAACCAGTTTCTTTATTTTGGAAATCAATATTCTTCCCTTTGAAAATGAAAAAAGTCACTGTAGGTACATTATTTAATCATTATTTAATGCAAGTGTATAAACAAGTTCCAATGAAACAGCGCCATCTGTTGGTACGCTATCAATGAGGGCTAATAATTTCCTGCTTACCAGATGTCGCTAGTTGACACTGAAGTACAGTTTTTTGTTACACAATGTAATTTAATTCAGAATTTGTTTTTTAACAAAAATTTATCAGTTTCTAGAGTATCATGTTAATACACAAAACAATGCAGTATGTGGTTTGCTCTTTAATTTTTTGCACATTTTTAACTTTTTTTAATTTTTATACTTTTATGAATATCTATGGTCTAGTTTATTTATTTTTAATGTTATTAATATAAAATATAGCTAATAGTACAAAAAGAAACAATAACTTTTACATTTTCCGAACAAATTAACTTCCCCGCTATGAAATCTGTCAAATATTATAGCTCACTTTCTAGTGGCGCCATCCTGGTGGTAGAAAAACTCGTAGATCATTGAAGAAAACATAAAGAAGAATATTATTATAGACGGCTTGTTTTTTATCCCTTAAATTGAAATACAGACTTCGAAATTGTAAATCACCAAAACGTTGTTCCAAGTAAATGACATCAAATTATCTCCGCGAGATTTTCGATAGGTACCTATATGATTCCGATTCCTCGATTTGAAACTAACCTTCTGATAATTTTTTTTTAAATATAGATGGCGTTGTACCATCAACTCGACTTGAAGTTACTAGACTAATCTTCCATGGTGTTGCTAGATGAACAGTAATCACCTTATTTCTAGGGTAATTTTACATTTGCACGTGCCAGTACGATAATGAATTAGTACACATACCGTTATATTTATTAGATAAGACGGAAATCGGAAAAAATGTCCGCCCCAATTCAATGAAAAGAAAATTGTATTTATATTTAAAATTTCTTTCACTGTCATAGTAGAAAATAAAACATCAGTCAGTGACTAAATAAGACTGAGACCACTAGTTGCCAAATCAACTATCTCAGAAAGAAGACGATTGTACTGGCAATTCTATGAATTTTGTTAATAATAAATTATAGATTTTGCTTTTTGAGTAAACTGGTTTGTAAAGTGAGTGTTATTTATTCCATTGTAGTATTTTTTCTATATAATATTCATTTTCATTATTTATTCTTATATAATAAAATAATTGTAACCCCTAGAGGGTTACAATTATTTTATTCTTGTCGAAAAAATACACTTATGTCTAAATAGAACTAGTTTTACGGATTTTATCATGTATATTAACTTATTTTATATTCCTGACGTTTCGAGTACTTTACAGCACCCATGGGTCACAGGTGCTGTAAACCTGCAGATTAAAAATTATTAGTTATTAATTATAAAACTGGTGTTAGTGTCCCCCGATACGCGATAAATTCCGTAAAACTAGTTTTATTTAAATGTGTAATGCTCGCGTAAATATAAGAAATCACTTATGGCTTCTTGACTTTTAATAAAAGCATTTTAAAAAGTTTGGATTATGGTAGACTTGGTGTCTTGGCAACACTGTATGGCGCTAGCCACAAACACAAACAAAAGAACTATAAACGCTAGCGGTAGCGCAAAGTAATAAATAATTTAAAATTAAATTGCTTATTATAATGTAGTTATATTAATATGTGTATCTAAACTAAACATAATTATTCGTTATATTGTAATTCCGCTATGTTGCTTTATTTTTGCACTAGTTATTTTCTTGTAAATATTTGCATTATTTTCTTTTGCATGGAACGCTAACGAATTTATGTCCACGCTATATTTGGATTTTATCGGTTCTAAAATGTAAATAACTGCTATATAGTAGTTACTATGAAAATACACCTAGCATCTGAAGACGCTTGGTCAGTGCTTGAAGCTCAATGTAGTGGTTTTGAAGTTTGTATCTTGGTGCAACAGTACTCGAAGGGTGAAATGAATTATGTGAATTACAAGAACGAGATACAGCGCGTAAGTAGCAGACCTGAGGAATTAATTTTATACTTCAATGTTTTTGTAAATATTATATCAACTCTTCCGTAATTTTGTAAAGTTTATTGAAGTTTTAAATTGCATGTACATGTTCCGATATTTGATAGTTTAAATTTCAACATAATGTTCACATTTTATCCTGTATATTATCATATTACTTTACCTATGTACCTACTCTTTGTTTTGAAAGGAGTTCTTAATGTTTATTTATTTATTTAGAAAACTAACAGCTTTAAATAAAAAGATAACATCAGATTGAATTATCATGCCTTATTACAGGTATTCCTATGTTATCTATAGGTAGGTACATAATTAAAAAGAAAGAGCGACGCTTCTCGGTACCAAAATATTAAGCAAAATAAATAATATAACACTGTACATACGTGTGTGTGTGCGCGTTTGTTCAATACCTTAACCATAAATAACTATTAAAAAATTGGCATATTTTGTGTAAATAAATACTAAGTAACGTGTAAGGCGGCCCCCCACTAGATGGAGTGACGACATGGTAAGATATGCAGGAAGTCGATGGATGCAGTTGGCTCAGGACCGTATTTTGAGGCATGCCTTGGGGGAGGCCTATGTTCATCAATGGACTTGTGAAGGGCTGTAATGATGATGATGATAATGTATCTATGCTATTCACTTTTAATAATGTAGCCCACTGACCGCTATGCATACTGCGTACTAGTAAATATAGAGGTCAGTGCTGTAGCCTCATACTCATATCACATATCATACACTTTAGTGCTATAGATATAGAGCCATGAACATAAGAGCATGCATGTGTAAAGTTTGTTGTTTGACGGCTCCGTGAGCTTAGCAATGAGTTGCTGCGCTGGGGGCCGCGAGTTCGAATCCCGCACGGAACAAGTATTTGTATGGCCTACAAATAATAGTTCCGGGTCTGGATATTTGTCCTCGTGCAATCTATGTTTGTAAACTGCCTAGACGAAACAGGAGAAAATCCTAGTGGGGGTAACGTTTTAAAAAAAAGTTCACCCAGATTCACCTTTGATCTATTAAAATCGATTTCGTGACTGCTTAACGAATTAAAACAAGTTTCACTAGTGCCTTAGAGGTTCTTTCTTTAGGTTTCGATTTTAGTTTGGTTATCGGAACAAAAGCGCTAAATATAGTTTGTATAAAAATGGAATTGTTTTGATAATTTGTTAGATTACAAGGTACCTACTCTTTTTCAAAAAGTTTCGGACTACCAGGGTACCAACCAGGGCGCTGTGACAACTGTATATAAATTAAATTCTCATGTTTATGAAGTTTCACTCGAGTGCCTTTGTAGTGAGTTTCTTTCTTTAGGTTTAGATTTTAGTTTTGGTTATCGGAACAAAGCGCTAAATATAGTTTGTATAAAAATGAAACCTTTTCAATCCCCTGCTCCACAAAATTAAAATTTGAACTTCCGTAAACCTAACCCTCGTAGCAACCATGGGCTCTACTAGAGTTCTTCCTTCCAACTTCAATAACATAAATTACCAACAACAGTGCCACCTACCGGGTCCAATTGTGAATCTAAACCATTCACATTCAGTGACCCACTTGAAGCTTGAACGCACACAAAGAAATTCATCAAAATCATTTGTGCCTCGAGACTAAATGGTTACGGACGGCAATTGATTTTTATTTAAAGATATAAAGTGTGTACCTATAGTGAATTAAACTTCAACTTCAGAATGCAGTCGCGTGTAGGTGTAGTTGATCGAATAAAATATCTTACAATGAGACTTTAATTTTAGTATTTAGCATTAGGTGACAAGTTTTTAAAAATCAAGGCAACATACCTACTTTAAAATAGAATCTTTTATACCTATTTATCAATAATATTTGCAGGTCTTAGAAAGTTATAGTCGTAACATTAAAAGAGAGAAAAACAATATTTGTGTAAGACTAGATTGCAATTTAATTATCATTTACAGATACAAAATGAAATTCATCACGTTACATACCAAAAAAAGCTGGAATGCTCATACATGCAACAAATTCATACGACAGTAAAAATAAAAAAAAGTACACTCGAATGAATTAGCACACCAATAATTATCTTCGTTCTTCATCACCGCCTTGTTTCCTTACTGGCCCCGTCTGAATGATCGGAACGACCCTCTCATCACTTGTTTTAGGCGGTGCTTTGAGCGGCGCCGTTATGCTCAACACTCCGTCTGACGACAATTTAGATGTAACTAAATCTGCTTCTATACCTTCGGGTAAGGGGTACCTCCTTGAGAAACTTCTAGAAATAAATCCGTGTTCGTCTTGGCGCTCTTCATGTTTCGCTTCAACAACTAAATAACCATCGGCAGTTTTTACCGAAATTTCTTCAGGTGCGAAGTGCTGGACGTCAATATTTACTTGAAATTTGTCCTTTTCTTCTTTAATAGTGGAGCCTGCGTCTTGGTTAGCAGCCTGAAGATTTCGCCACGGCCTATAGTAGTTCCTGCTAGTTTGCGGCATGGCGACGATGGTCAAGTAGTCTTGAGGCGTGAGACCCAAGCCAAAATGTTGATCCATCAAACGACGTGGTCTTTGGTGTTCACATTCAATGAAAAACGGATACATTGACATCTTCACAAGTTTTAAAATCAATTGCAGATAGAAAGACTCACTAATTTGCTATAACAGCAGTTTTATATAGAAATTAAGCGATGTAGAATGCCGGCCGGCAAGTAGGAAGTAGGATAACAGTAATCTGTGGGTGTGGTACTACTTTGCAACTTTATCGACTGACGCGATTATAACGTCGGCATAAGTATTTATAGTTGTAAACGCCATCTAGCGACCGCCAGAATTGTCTAGAACATCCAGAATGTACTAGAGGTACCGGGTGTTTTCACGTCCGTGCAGATATTGTCAACATTTTAATAGTTTGTTATTTTCTCTCTATAATTATTATTTAAAAAAGTTAATATAAAATATATCAAGAGATTTATTACAAATAGTTTTATAATAGTGAAAACTTAATCATAGGTACTAATTTATACGCACACATCTTATAAAAAATTATAAAATTAAACATTTTCACGTATTCATTACAGCCCGTCAAAAGACTATTGCTGAACATTGGTTTTCCCCAGAGTTTTCATTTGTTTGGCATAGTTGCCTTGCTGGACAGGTGGATGGCCAACCGCAGTCATTTTTTATAATTATTAACTTCTTCTCTGGTAGACGCTGCTGCCCAACTTTTATTTTAGTTTTCCACTATCACCTCTTACGACATCCATCAAATTATATGGAGCAGTACATTCTCTTACACCTCCACTGCTCTATACAATTCAACATGTGGTGGTAGTGAGTAGTTTTCTGCTATAAATTATGAAATAATACAGTAACTGCAATATCAAAAATCAATATTATTTTATTGCTAAAACTCCATTTTGAGAAATCTTAAATAGATATATAAATTCTGCGAATAATTACCGAAATGTAAATAGATTTATATAATTAGATATTATTTAAACGTAGAATTTGGCGTTTTTATTAATAAACTCATAACAACTAAGAAATAAATATCGAGTATGTACCTGTTACTAATTTTTTCTTGATATGGTTATTTATTTTATTTATGTTGGTTATTTTGAACTATAGAAAATAAACTAGCAACAAGCAACTTATTTTTATAACGTATTTTTATTTTATTTTATTACAATTGTTGTATTTATAATTTCTTCGAACTGAAAAAGTTATCTTTTAATAGATAGATTATTTTTGTCAAATTAAATATCTAAATCGGTGACGACATGAGAGAGCCCAATGTTCAGCAGGGGACTGAATCTTTTTATTAAAATATGTTTTAAGAAAAGATGAACAAAATAATTAAATTGTTTAGAATACCTGCAAACTGTATTTGCGGGCAGATGTCACTTTTGTCGCAACTGAACTTTCTAGAAAAATTAGTCTTTGTACGTTCAAAATATCAAATAAACTTAAAAAGTGCATTGTAAAGATAAAAGTTTAATGCTTTTTATTTATTTAAAATAAGATGCATATAATAATGAGAAATATCGTGGGCAAATTATATAAAATATTTTATATCCATTCTACTAGACGATAGATGGCGCTGTTTGTTTCTCCGATTTTAAACAACTTTTAAACTTTTTTATATTCCGTGTTTTAAACCTTATTTACATTTTTAAGATATTATTTGAAATTACTATCAACTAGTTTTACTTTACAGTAAGTATGTCTCATCACACCAAACCAGAAATGCATATTATTCATAGATTACTGTATTCTTTGGGTTTAATATTATACTGGGTGTAGGTGTTTTCAAATGAATATAGATATAAGAGTGTAAGTACCTACAAATTTTCTTCTCATCCCCATCAACAAAATACAAAATCTGTAATTTGGCAACATGAACTAGGGTTGTTAAGTCTGTACCTATAATATAGTATCCCCTAATAATAATAAATTCTATGGTATACTACTATATTAGAGCTCAAAATACTTATATTTCGAACTAATATGTAGTTGGTGAAACTGCTATATTTAAATAGGTACATATGCGTGAGACTGTTAATAACAAAGATTTATCTTTGGTTAATAAAGGCTAAAAGCAGTAAATAAATCATAACTTCATAATTTTCAATGATGAATATAGGCGTCATCATCATCATGATACAAAACACTGTCCTGATCAGTCCTGATTCAGATGCCAGAACGTCGCTCCTTTAAATTAATAAAATAATAAATTAATTATTATCTATTAAAACATACGATGCCTTTTTCGTGTTTCGCTATCTAGGTAAGTACTATATTTTTACAATTAATAAAATCTCTCTAAAATACTATATTTAATGTAAAGAAAGTTGGCATGTTGGCAACTCTACCACGAATTGATTTTAATAAGATCGGTGTGGATTGGTGCATCAAAACATACCCAACTGGAATAAAGAAGTCATACTTTCCAATCTTAGGTTATACGAAGCTATTCCTAAGAATTCCAGAAGCAACTAATTGAGGTGTCGAGCGACTTGTTTTCATCATTACAGCCCTTCACAACTCCACTGCTGAACATAGGCTTCCCCCAAAGAATGCCACAAAGCACGGTCCTAAGCCACCTGCATCCATCGACTTCCTGCATGTCTTACCAGGTCGTCACTCCATCTCGTGGGGGGACGCCCTACACTTCGCCTACCGGTACTAGTGTACGTTAAACATCGATAGACTATCGATGGTATCGATAGTAAATGGCTATCGATACTATCGATAGTTTTTAAAACTATCGTTCGAGGTATGCATGTATGTAGGTTTTTCCCCGGCTATAGTGACAACGGCATAGACATTGAGATTGTTCCCTACGATAGTAAGTAAGGTATTACCGTGCGTATATCATCCATTTACAAGACAACAGTCAGTCAGTCAGTTTTTTTTATTGTGGATGTTTTAAGTTGAGTGGAGTAACAAACAATTTAGAATTAAACAATAAAACATGAGTAGTAAGTGCGTGGGATTACTTCAAAAAGACTAATAAAAAGTTTGCCAAGTGTTCTTTGAGTAAAAGAGAGTTTAAACTAAGTGGAAATACTACAAACTTGATCAATCATATGAAGAGAAAACATAATGAGGTATGGATATGGTCATCCACTGTTTCTATTACTCAAGACGTAGATACGACTGAGCAAAATGGGCCCCAGCCCTAAAAAGAGAAATACGCTAAAAAGTTATTTTAACAGATGGGAAAACAAAGCTAAATTTGGATAACAAATACGTGCGCATGATTGCTGTTGACATGGAACCTTTGCAAAAAGGAGAACATGAAGGATTTCGGGATTTTGTAATGCTCTCGATAGTAGATATGAAATTCCTGATACAACAAAATTGAAGAAGAAATTACTGCCGGAATATTATGAAAACGTGAAACAAACAACAAACTACAAAATTTTTTTGTAGAAGATGAATCTGAGTTACTGAAAGCGGAAAGAAAATATTACTCTGTGTGAAGGGATCAGTTGACAAAATACTAAGTCCCTATGCAAACAGAACACTTGTTGTACTTGCTACAACAAGCGTCCTGTTTATTTAAATTTATTATTACTAATATTGGACTCCCGATTTAAGAAGAAGGGGTTCAAAACAAGTAACGACGAGAAGCGAGCTGGTCAGTGGCTGGAAAAGGCCTATGCTAACCATTTAACTGAAGAATGTTTGGCTGTAGAAGAAACGCAACCAACACCATCCATGTCTTCAGGAACATTTAATGACCTGTTGGGATTCCTAGACGTTCCAGACGTATCGACCCCTTTGAGTAACTCATTGTTAGATGTCAGGCAAATCTCGAGAAGACAGTAATTGACAGAAAAGAGTGTCATATAACATACTGGAAATACACCAACAATATATTGAAGGAATTAGCGATGCTCTATCTTTGTATTCCAGCATCTTCTGTGCCTTCGAAACGGATTTTTTCGAAGGCCAGAGAAAATTTAACCGAACGCAGAAATAGGTTAAAAGAAACAAGATTAAACGAATTGTTGTTTATAAAACAAAATACCTGCTATTTTAATGATTGATTTGTAGCTATAATAATGATCAATGCTGATTTTTGATTGTTATTTCGAATATATATAAAAATAAAACTCTACGTTTCGTATAACATTTGTTATTTTATTGATGTTACGCTAATCCTACAATTTTTTAAACTCTCGATAGACTATCGATACTATCGATAGTTTTTAGTAAAACTATCGATACTATCGGATTACCAAACTATCGATGTTTAACGTACAGTAACCGGTACGAGGCTGCCACTCGAGAACCTTTCTTCCCCATCGGTTGTCGGTTCTTCGACCTATTTGGCCGGCCCACTGCCACTTCAGCTTACTAATCCGTTGGGCTATGTCGGTTATTCTGGTTCTACTGCGGATATCCTCATTCCTAAGTTTATCACGCAGAGAAACTCCGAGCATAGCCCTCTCCATAGCTCGCTGAGCGACCTTGAGCTTCCTCATACGGTCAGCAGTGAAGGACCACGTCTCAGTTCCGTAAGTCATCACTGGCAACACGCACTGGTTGTACAATTTCGTTTTAAGGTTTTGAGGTATGTCTGACGAGAAGATGTGTCGTAGCTTCCCGAACGCTGCCCAGCCGAGTTGAATCCGTCGATTGACCTCTCGGTCGAAGTTGGACTTACCTAGTCGGACTATTTGTCCCAGGTAAACATACTCGTCAACAACTTCGAGCTTAGTGCTCCCAACAACTACCGGCATAGGTGTGACATGGACATTAAACATGATCTTTGTTTTGTCCATGTTCATCTTAAGAGCTATCCGTTGGGAAACACTATTGAGGTCATTGAGCATAGTGCTTAGGCCCTCCAGCGATTCTGCCATAAGGACTATATCGTCGGCAAATCGAAGGTGAGTGATGTACTCGCCATTGATGTTGATACCGTTTCCTTTCCAGTCCAGAAGCTTGAAAACGTCTTCCAATGCAGCGGTGAAGAGTTTCGGGGATATGACGTCACCCTGTCTTACACCTCTCTGCAATTGGATAGGATTCGTACTCTGGTTCTGTACTCGGATAGCCATCGTAGCCCTACTGTACAAGCACTTCAACACTTCGATATACCGACAGTCAACTTGGCACCGCTGAAGGGACTGCAGCACCGCCCAAATTTCGATGGAATCAAAGGCTTTCTCATAGTCCACATACGCCAGACATAGTGGCAAATTGTACTCTTCGGACTTCTGTACAACTTGCCGAAGGGTATGTATGTGGTCTATGGTGCTAAAGCCCTTTCGGAAACCGGCTTGTTCGGGAGGCTGGAAGTCGTCAAGTCTGCGCGCGAGACGATTCGTAATGACTCTCGAAAACAGCACGTAGACGCGGCTCAGAAGGGAAATCGGTCTGTATTTCTTCAAGAGAGCGTTGTCACCTTTCTTAAAGAACAAGACCACCGCACTTCTGCTCCACGCCTCCGGTGTAATGCCACCATGGAGGACGGAATTAAAGAGCTTCTGAAGGACTTCAAGTACCGGTTTTCCACCCGCTTTCAGAAGCTCCGCTGTAATTCCATCCTCGCCTAGGGCCTTGCCGTTTTTAAGGTGCTGGAGAGCCATTCTAATCTCGCCCAGACTGACATCCGGGATATCTTTTTTTTTTTTTTTTATATGAGAGGGGGCAAACGAGCATGCGGCTCACCTGATGGTAAGTGACTACCGCCGCCCATGAACAACTGCAACACCAGGGGAATCGCAGATGCGTTGCCGGCCTTTTAAAAAGGAGTACGCTCTTTTCTTGAATAGTGTCGGATAAGACTCGCTCTTGGATCGTTACTCACATTTGCTTGTGGCTCCAACGATGACGTGTACAGCTGCCCATAGAACCTCTCAATCTCATCCAAAATCTCAGGTGTCCCGGAAACGATGCTGCCACACTCGGTCTTCAGCCTTGACAGTTGGCTCTTTCTGGCAGACAGATCTCTGGCAAAGACTTTGGAGCCTTGGTTCCGCTCGATCACTTCTTCAATACGAGCTGTATTGAAGTTGCGTAAGTCCCGCCGCATGCATTTGGAGATCTGTCTGTTCAGATGCCTGTATGCTGTCAAGTCTGTTGAAGAATGTAGCTTCATCTCCCGTCTAACAGCCATGAGATTAAGAGTGTGATCGGAGAGTTTTTGTGTTCTTCTGCGGCGGGTCTTGCAGAACTTTGCTCCAACCGCATGGACAGTTTCCACGAGCTTGTCATTCATATCGTCCACTTCATTGCAGCCTTCTAGGCACTGAAAACGGTTTTGTAACTCGAGCTGAAAGGTTTCGGGACTTTGGAACAGAGACTTGTTTTAAGGAGAAGTAAATATAAAATTGACTACTTAAAGATAAGGACATAGGGTCCTATGGTAAGTAATCATAATTATTTTTGCATTAGTGATCGTCTGGCCCAATAAAATACTTCAGTATTAGATTTATCCAATAATAGCAGCCAAAATAGATTACCAAAATAGATTTTACTCCATTGACCAAATCAGGGACGTCTTGAAAAAAGGTCCGGTCAAGAGTACCCTAAACCGAAGAGCATGTATGAAGGGAATAATGAAAGTGGACGAAGCGAAACAAGTATGTAAGGATCGTAGCAAGTGGTAAGAAGTTGTCTCTGCCTACCCCTACGGGAAAGAGGCGTGATTATATGTATGTATAAGTAATTCCATAATTATATATATAAAATGGAATTATCATGAGCGTAGATTTTTCGCGTTCATAAGACTAAGCAAGCCTAAATATTTTTGAGTTTAACAAATCACTGTTTAGTGTCTACAAACAAATCAATAATGTTTAACAATTACTTATACTACTTATATAGTTTATACTACTTACATAGTTTTCTAAGGTTTTATTTTCTGCCTAGGAGACCGTCAGAGCAGATAGATGCCCGGGTTGTTTGAATACCGTGAAATTTACGGAAGCACTTAGACCACGAGTAACCACGTTTAGACATTTGAAGTCTGTCAACACGTATTAGGGCGGCGCGGCGCACACTTTCTGACTCTTAAACTGTCTCAGAATTGAGAAGAAGCCTGTGCGTTGTGTACACGTATGTTATGGATGCAACTACACAAAAAATATTGTATTAATAAGTTCGGGTAAACGAGCGTGCAGTCCACTTAATGGTAAGAGACTACCGCAGCCCATAATGTAATTTGACGGCTTCGTGGCGGAGCAATGAGTTGCAGCGCTAAGAGCCACTGATTCGAATCCCGCACGGAACAAGTATTTGTATGGGCTACGGAACATGTATTTGTATGGCCTACAAATAATTGTTCCGGATCTGGATGTTTGTCCGTGTGAAATTATGTATGTAAACTGCCCCCACGATACAGGAGAATATCCTTGTGTGGGGTAGCGTTAATAAAATACAACTTAACATCAGAAAAACTATAAACATTTCTCAGCAAGTAAAACTACATCTCAGAGATGTTTTAAGTTACGTTACAGCCTGTATACATCCTACACCTGAGTACAGATCTCTCATTTCTAGGTAGGTTTGTCATGTACAACTTTATCCTTGTTTTTTTCTTTACTTTTAAAAAGCAAGCAAATAATATTTTGGGTGCATTTGAGCGCTTGCAAGACGTCCTAGAGCGCAACATCGAACATGCAGACGAGAGACATTTTTCTATAATTTGTTAAATGTCGAGATTTTTATTTATGAAATATTTTAACGCTCTGATCCAATAAGCCGCTATTATTTTTAGAAGTTACATAATATGAATATTATCAACGAGAGTTTCTGATTGCAGAATATTTTCGCTACTTAGGGCATCTTCAATTCAGTTCAAGTAACGATTGTTTTTTTTATAATATTTATCATTTAAGAAGAAATATAGGGCGTGTTAAATATGTAGGTAAATTCTGTAATCAAGATATAATAATATTAAGATATAACAGTTTGACTAATTGATCGTAGTTTTTTGGTTTTACCTAAGAAGTATCTTGTGATTTAATATTTAAACAATAATAAGATACCTCGTATAGTACTGGACAATTTAAAAATATTCATTTTCTCTTATCACTTTAAACAAGGTCGACCAATGACTTGTAACCTTACAGTGTTTATAAGCAATTTCTTATAAATACTCTACGCTTGTAACTGTGTGTATAAAAAGGGCATTCTAATTTTCCATTTATTCTGTGCCTCGAAAGGTTTATTTTTTTATATTTTATGGTCTTTATTCAATCTAACAACATAATAACTTTGCCAAACACTTGATAAGATATATTTGGATATTTAAGTCTTGGTTATATAACTTCAAAACGTTTTTTTTTTTAGAGTAACAGCACTTATTCTTTTTCAACTTGCCCGCTCAAAATCAAAATCAAAAAAAAAAAATTTTTGTTAACTTAAACTAGTGGTCGCAGGTAAGTAAAATTTTAATATGGTAATGTAAAAAACTGTTGGGATTTCTGTTTCAATGCCAGTCGTCACTTCCTTCTTTAACTTATTGAATTATTTGGTTTGATAATGTTGAAGTCAGGTAAAAATGCCTAGTGGTGTCAACTTTACCTAAAACTAGGGTTGGTACAAAGTGAAGGTTGGGTGATGATATTTTATACAATAATAGTAAGTAGTAATATGTAAATAAATTTCTTTGTATATTAATTACTAGCAAACTTAGTACGCGTTAAAATCGTTTGACCTGGATAGGATCAACCCGTATCCCGTAAGAATAACGATTCGTTTATGGTTACCAACGGGGTACAGCCATGCTGCATGTATATTAATAGTAATAGTATAGTTGTAGCATTAAAGGATCATCTCGACCGGGGTAGGACTACGCTCACACAGAATACCAGCGTAAAATGCAGCTTAATGCTGCTGTGTTTCGTATGGTTAGTGTAAAGAACCGAAGAATCTTTTTACTGGAAAATCTTAATCCTCACGGCTGACAAGGCATCTGAATTTTGATTCGCAAACGAGAATAGATGTAGATGTCTATGGGTCACAGCAACCACTTACCATCAGGTGGACTGTGCGCTTATTTGTATATTAATAACATAAATATTTTGTAAAATTGTTTTTGACAACCCTATGAAAAGAAATTGATCTTTAGGTTAACCGCTATAAGCTCCGTGGCAACTTTGCCTACTGCTATTATTATCTACAGTTTGCTTTGTTCGTCCGTCTTCTCATTTTTAAAACACAAACAGCGATATAATTAATGCATTTTGACCATAATTTATATATAATATAACATAATATTCATTTTCGTAATAAATATGACATAAAGCTAAAGTAGTCATTAATGTGTCAATTTTCGTTCTATAATTATCTCCAAATGCAAGTCCAAATGTAAAAAAAAAAGATTTTAGAAAACGACGTTAACAGGAAACGTTAGCCAAAGTTAGGATTATGGACATTGGTTTGAAATTTTAACGCTCAGAATAGAAAAAAAATATTTTTTGAAAATAATTAAATGATGGAGTGACGACCTGGTAAGACATGCAGGAAGTCGATGGATGCAGGTGGCTCAGGACCGTGCTTTGTGGCATTCTTTGGGGGAGGCCTATGTTCAGCAGTGGACTTGTGAAGGGCTGTAATGATGATGATGATGATGAATTAAAAGTGGCCGGGTTTGACTGTTTGTATTAAAATTATTACGTTTCCTGATGCAAAGAATAAAACTATTTGTTTTCTCCTTTAGTCTGGTTGATTTAAGTAAATCGCATCAAAAGTACGAAGTGTGTGTATTATATACTCTTTGGATTGCACTGTTATTGCATTGATTGCATTTGTGTCTGGCTGGAATCTAGACGCGAGCCAGTTTTTTCCTGCGCGAAGTGTCATGCGCAGTATTCTCACAAAGAGACGAAAGACTACAGGAGTTTTTTTGCGTATACAGGAGTTACATTACGAAAAAAATGTCTTTATTGCCATTCTTATTAGATTTGGATCGACCACGACGTCTTCTTGATCAGCATTTAGCGATAGCTTTAACTCCAGAGGATATCCTCGCTGCCGTTGGCCAACCGAGAGACTACCTTCGGCCGTGGAAGCAACTGTCAACCATTTTGCAAGACGCGGACACTACCATTAAAACCGATAAGAACAAGTTTCAGATTAATTTGGACGTGCAACATTTTGCGCCTGAGGAAATTACAGTGAAGACGTCCAATGGTCATGTCGTGATTGAAGGGAAGCATGAGGAGAAACAAGATGAACATGGCTGGGTGTCTCGACAGTTCACAAGAAGATACGCTCTTCCCGAGTCGTGTAGTGTCGACGCAGTGCAATCTCGGCTGTCTTCGGATGGCGTGCTAACTATCATTGCACCACTGGAGCGTCCCCAAGCTTCTAACGAGCGTGTTGTGCCGATAATTCACACCGGGCCAGTAAAGACCCAGCCTGACGGTGGCAAGTCCGAAATCGGTGACGGCGAAGCCGCACCGGTTGATAACGGACAGTAATTACATCGGGACTCATGCCAGTCTATTTTGGTACTGCATTTAGCATAACGGGACGTGGACTTGTTTCGATCATTGCCTTTAAATTCAATGTGTTTTGTAAACAACGTTTTTAAACGTTTAAAATAGCTCATTTTGTATAATCTGTGAAATAAATTTTTCAATGCTGACGTTTTGCATAATAATTATTTTATTTTTATTACAATACTCACATTTACTAAAAATTTCGTTTAAAATTTATGTATTAAAATTTTGATTGTACAAGTTTGTTTGTTATTCGATGAAATAAACTAATGTGAAAGGAAGTACGTATTCCGGTTGTAAGGTAAGCGGTAAGGCGGTAAAAAGGATGATGTATGCAGCTTTTAATACTGGGATATGAAGGGTGACGAGCGGCGGCGAAGGGCAAGGGCAAGACTATTTTTATGCAGGACGACGCGCGACGCGGTAATATACGCAGCAAAAATTACAAAATCACGAAAAATATCAAAAAAGTTAACCTATACAAAAATTATAAAATAGTAAAAAAATATATAAAAAGTAAACACGCAAAGACTAAACAACGATATATTAAGTCAAATTAATAAAAATGAAATAAAAACCAATTTTAAATAAAAAAATAAATATTATTACCACCTTAAATTTATATAAAATTAATATATTGAAATAAATAATATTCTTATAAATAAAATTCTTGAATATTCAGCTAAAAAAATAAAGCAAATCCTAAATATCCTAAAATCAATAATCCTGAAACCATGGACCTAGAATAAGTCCATGCCTGAAATTCTCTTTCTTTGTAACGAGTAGATATCACTTTTTTCTGCAGTTCTAATTTATATGAATACTAGCTGGCAAGGCAGACGTCGTTCTGTCCGTCATATAAAAAATTCTTAAATTCGTAATAAAAAAATATTGAGTGTCACTCATCCGAATAAAGACTATCCTATCTCTCAAGTTGGACCAAACTGCACAGAGTGTGTTGAAATCAGTTCAATAGTTTAGTTCATCGCGGACAAACAACGTGATACGTAATTTTTATATATAAAGATAGGAGACTCGTATAATAATAGAACTCTTGAAAGTAAGTTAAAGTTTCTTTGGGAAAAATACTGTTCGTAAACTTGTAACAATTTAGGCTTCTATATCAAGTCCATTGATTTAATATGAACTCAATGATCAAGGCATTCACATGTGATCATTTATTATCACCTATTTTGGTACTTGCACACACACTTATCAAACTTACAGGGCTTACAGGGTAAGAAATTATTAATTAATTACCGTTACCGTTTATTTAAAAATAATTAAAATTTATTTTAAATTATGAATTAATTACCATTAACCCGACTTTCCTTTTCGATAAAGCAATGTTTGCCAGCGCTCACTTCGCCTATTGTTCCCAAGTTGGATGAACTATATCTACATATTATTACATAATTAAGTTCATTCCGAATATGTTCACGCCTCGGGGATCTAACTAATCCCTATATCCCTATAATATATAATATTATGATGTGTTTGGGTGGCTTACTTACTCACTAAGATCCTGTTGGTTTTCTGATTAATTATTTTTAGATCGACCGATTGATCGTATCGATGATAATTTTATAAAACTATTATTTTTACCAAGGCTTGACATTAACTACTGAGCCAAATACAAAGATGGGTAGGCGTTTCTAATGAATTGATAGTTACCCAAAAACCCCAGATGTTTTAAACCATACTAATTAATTTTTTGTAATAAAGTAAGTATTACCTATGTCCCAACGCGCATAATACCCCCATTCTCATCAGTATAATAAGCTCTTGCAAATACTATTTGTAGTATATTACTGCACAGTCGTTTATTACATGGCTTATTATACTTTATATAAGAAATAACTGAACCTAAAACAGAAATTCGGTTAACAAGCAAAGATAAAAAAGAAAACACAATTTTACATCGATTCACGGAACTTACTAGAAAAATATTGTAGAAGTAACTAGGTAGGTATAAATTTAAAAAATAAATCGGACTGATTGAGTTACAGAATAAGCAAATTTTGTAAAATAAACTACTTATTCCTACTATTTCTAGTTCTAAATCTAGGCTTTTGTGAAAATAGAAAAGTGGATAGGTAGGCACATATCGTGGATGTTTTGAAGTGCGTACCTGCCAAGGTTACTTATACTATAAAAATTATTTCCATGCAATTTTGTCAAATATTTTCTAGCAGTCCTTAAAAATTGCTGTTCTTAATTTTTGCGCTAAACACAATAGTCCTATGACCCTAGTGAAAATTGTAATGTCCGATTTTTTTGAATAGTTCAATGATTTTTGGCACTTAATATCATAATATTAATGTGTTGTGAATAAGGTTCTGAGTAAATAAAAAAAATATTTGTGAAAGAAAGTAGGTACATTTAAAGGTAAACAATATATACTCAATTTACATTGCCGCGCAGCGGAATGCAAGCGAATTTTTGTAATGAAATTGTAGGTACATAGTAAAATGAATTTCATGATAAAAGAAGTCGCGAGTCTTCTTTTTTGGCTCATATCTAGTTTGCACGTTACACAATTAATAAAAAAATAATTTTAATGTACAATTTCGTTACAAAAATTCGCTTCTATTCCATTCCGCCGCAATGTAGATTGAGCCTAAAGGATAATGTAGATCACTTATTGAAACAATTGCGAACGTATAATGTAAACAATTCAGAGTGCGCATTATTTACACTAGACATTTAATATTTTACGCGGAGTAGGAATACAAAATTTAAGAGAAGGTACACCCCGCATTTAAATGATAAAAAGCACTACTTTGTACATACTACAAGTTATGATGACACAAGAAAATAAAACGCCATTCATTCATGCAAGAGAAATATATTTACAAATTTAAAACATATTTCATTTAATAATTATAATACAGTAAAGAGGTACGACAACACGTGTTATTTAACAAAATTCAGTCTTAAATCAATTTTAAAAATTACACTTAACGTAAAATAGGTACACATTAATTTACAACTTAATTAGACAATTTTTTAGGTTTTTCAATTTCGATATCGGGTGATCCCAGCTGTTTCTTTATGGGTCCAGTAGGAGTTATTGGCACTATTCTTTCTCCAATTGAAGGCAAAGGTAAAACTTTTGGAGCTGTAACGGTTAGTACGCCATCCGACGACAACGTAGATTTTACGGTATCAGGTAAACATCCTTTTGGTAGCGCGTATCGTCTCACAAACTGTCTGGAAACGTATCCATGTTGATCTTGTTTCTCTTCATGCTTCCCTTCGATGATTACATTCCCTTCGACAACCTTGACACTGATCTCCTCTGGGGTGAAATGTTGCACATCCACATTAACTTGAAATTTCTCGTCGTCTGATGTTATTTTCGGATCAATTTGGTTTAATGCAAGTTGATCCATCGCTCGTGATAACTGCTGCATTGGTCGTAATATATTGTCCCATTCCTGCATCACATTTTCCCATGGATTGGCGAATTTTGGACTGAAGAAGCTACGTGGCACCAATTCCAACGGCGATCGGAAGAAATCACGTTCCATCATGCGCAATGGTCTTTCTACGTCGTATAGGTAAGGAACGATAGACATTTTGATTGTTGTTGTTGACGTTATGCTATCACTTGACTTTAAATTATCGTATCGTATTCACAATCATATACTGTACTGCGTTTGTTTACGTCGGATCGGCCTTTATATAGTACCGTACTGTCAACGCCACCTATTGCCAGTAACGCGAACTTACAGGAATATTCAAGAAAGTACTCGCTGGGTCGCTTGCGGCAGGCGCCGTACAACTTTCGAGAAACTATCGTTTGTTTAGCTACGAACGTACGGATCTTGGAACGTTCTAGAAAATTTATACTAAGCGCCATCTACCGACGAGTAGCGTAGGATTTTTTTTATATATTTTGAGGTTTATTATCAATATATTATTATTATGATAATACGTATCTTAACATTTAGGTATTAAAAAGAAAGTTAAGCAAAATAAAAGATAATTTTATGTTTGTTTGTTTGTTAATTACTAATTCTAGTAGGGAAAGATTAGAAGTACCTAAATACTTTTTTGTGTAAAATATCCTTGATACCTAATGGCAAGGAGATGATTGGAGGCCTAATTACACTTATCTATGGAACTCATAATTAAAAGTTTAGTCTAAGGAATAACTCCATGGATTATACTTTATACGTTTTATTCTTCTATTTTATAGAATCTACTTGCTATTTTAAAGAATTTTAATTCTATTTTTGTGGGTTCATCAATTACCTAGGTAGGCAGTAGCTTGTGTTAAATTTCAATAGTTAAGTAACAGATAAGTTAATAGTAACAGTTAATAGTAATAGTAATAGTAACTTATTAGTAACTTATGATTACTTTATAGTAACTTATTAGTACTGCTTACGATTTTGACTAGTAGTTACTACAGCAAAATGGTTTAAAATTTTCAAAGATTGATAGAAAAAAATGTAATGTCCATGTGTAAAGTGCAAATGTAAAGTAGTGACCGCTTAGAATATTGAACTGAAATTGAAGACTTCCATTAATCACCTTTATTTTACTTCTCTTGTATACTTTAATAATACTGTTGAAAAACACTAAAATAAAAGTAGTTATGTACCTACTAAGATAACGATTAACGACACGTCTCCATTTCCCGCCAAAAACATTCTGCTCTCACTCAACTCAACTCTGAAGTTTGTGGTTTAAAGACTCGTTTGCTAAGTTCTTTCACCAGTGTCAAGAAATTCGATTTTTTTATCTACCCACTATTATTTATCCACCAATTTTTAACAATATGATGTACGCATTGCAATTTTTCGGGGATATTTTAACAACAAGCAGTTGATAACGATAGCCCAAGAGCTGATGATCTTCTAATGGTTGAATAGATTTTCTTGAAACATAGCTAAGAAACCTCTCGATTAAGACACCTTTCAAAGGAAAAAAAACTTAATTGAAATAGGTTCATCTGTTCAGGATCTATAATGCCACAGACAAACAAATACACACATACATATACACATACAAAGATACACAGATACACGCTACAAACTTATACCACGCCTCTGCTTTCGTCGAGGGTTAAAATAACTCGAGCTCGAACATTTTATGTACCTAGTACCTACCAAAATAATAATATTGGCTTGTAGTGGCAAGCCAATATTCCAACATGCAATTTTTTTTATTTGATATTATCCAGCCATTCATTATGGATGATCTCTAAGACCCTCAAAGATTGCCTCATGGGGGATTATGCCATAGTTGCCACGCTTGGCATTAGTGGAAACTGTGAAACAAGTGCTCTGATGGTGATGTGATTCTCAAAATAAGGTGTCTGTCTGCTTAGGCGCCTTGAGTTACCATCGCCAACCGTCAGCTGTCTGCTTGCTCAAGTTGCCGCCAAAATCTCCCAAGGGCTGCACAATGTGACGCATCAACATATTGTAAAGCAGTATACTATAAAGGATAATTATTATAATATATTATAACTTCAGGCTCAGAAGGGCTAGATCCCAGAGCAGTAAAGCCAGTTATTAAGAAGAAGAAGACACCCTCGGGACGGTATGGAGTAGTACATATTCTTACAACGCTGCTAAACGGTTACCTAATTTAATATTATCTATAAGAACGATTATTCGTCAGCAACAAACAACAATCGTGACGGGATGAAATTGCGGTGATAATTATTTTACGTCACCACCACGGGACACGATAGGTCTACTGGTCTACTTTTGTTAAGGGTGTGTATGTGTGTGTTTGTGTAAGGGTAACAAACGTTGTACATTTGATAGTAAGTAGATGCTGTGGCCCGTGGACGACCTGCATCTCTTGATTAAAACTTAAAAGGCAGATGCGTCGTACTTTTGAGGTCTAAGGTGGAATGTCTTATAACCAGCAAAAAAGTTCTACTCAACATAAGGTTATAGATACTCAACAGCAGCTATGTACATGGTTATTTTTCAAAGAGTGGCCAAATTTTAAACTTAAGTTGAAATATATTGACAATGATATAAATATACCGTTATTGCAGTTTTTGAAAATACGAGAAAATAAGGATTCTACTTTTATTTGAAATTATCAAAAAATGAATGTGATTTATGGGCAACAACGTTTTTCCCTATCAATCGACCCTTACGAATGTGTGCATGCGCAGTAAAATCAGTTAAAATAATGCATGATCACGCATTTTGAAAGTAAAAGATAAAAAGGACAGAATTATTGAGATTTATTTTAATAAATTTATCTTCACCATTTTGACTTATTATTCTGAACCTTCTCTGCAAATTTGGCCGGTTATTGCAAAATAAACCAGTATATGCTATTCAACTTGCGAACCAACTATTCACGCAAAAGCCAGAATACAGCTGCAGCCTGACTTTAAAGAATGTTTGTTAGTTAATTCCCCAAAGCCTGATATGTAGGACTCTAATAAGTTTTAAGCTAAGATTAGGTCTTGAAATTTAGGTGCCTTCTGAACAGTACTCTCAGATTGTGAAGAGGCGGTAAACGAGCATATCACTCTCCTGATGCTAAGTGATTATCTACGCTTAAGAACACCAGCAGCATCAGAGAAAACAGCAGGTGCGTTACCGGTTTCTTCACGAAGGAGTGGGGTCTTTTACTCAGACGTGTTTTTTTTTTTTGGTACAGAAAAACCCCTAAGTACAGTTAATTAAACAAAGTGGTCGTGTATGGCAAAAATTTCCTGGTAAAAACGCACGCTGGTGCACTGCCAACCATCAAGATAACGTGTATAGAATGAGGGGTAATAACTTTCTGCTCACCAGACATCGCTAGTTGACACTGAGATAAAGTTTTTTATTACACAATTTAATTTAATTGAGAAGTTGTTTTTAATAAAAGTTTATCAGTTTCTAGACTATTATATTAATAAACAAAACAATGCGTCAGTGAATTTTTTACACATTTTTAACTTTTTTTTTAATTTTTCTACTTTTATGAATATCTGTGGTTTGGTTTATTTATTTTTAATGTTTTTAATATATAATATAGCTAATAGTACAAAAAGAAACAACAACTTTTACATTTTCCAAACAAATTAACTTCCCCGCTATGACATCTGTCGAATATTATACCTCACTTTCTAGTGGCGCCGCCCTGTTGGCAGAAAAAGTCGTGGATGCCCTCACCTACCTGCTGTACCAGTGTATGGCGGTGGTGAATTTAATATTTTCCGTGATTAAAACTAGTCATAGGAAATCAATCCGATTCAATCAATTCGACATCTTGCAAAACAAGTTTGGAATGTTCTGGAGAATTATCACGTCAATGTAATAATGAAATAATTAATGTCATTGACCAAAACCGAGATAAGCCGCAATATTAGTCATTAAGCATAACTGCATAATGATAGGATAGGAGTATGGTCAGGGGCACAGCTGTGTCAGGGGGCTACGGCTACGGGCTATCAAGTAAGCGCCGGGCGCCCTCAGTGTGCGATAGTGTGCGACGGACGGACGTGTGACTATCGTTGTAATGGAGAGTAAACATAGTCTTTTAGTTATTTTAGTTTTATGGCTTGAGTAAGTTGTTTAGTATTTCTGTTGTATACAATATCGAATAATTACAAACTTATCAAGCCTATTTGCATGTTATGCGAACCTATAAGACATTTATGGAATAATTGTTGTCGTTACCTATTGAACTCTACTCTATGCTATTGAAGTTCACTACTGAACATAGGCCTCCCCCATAGATTGCCTCATAGGGAGGGATATTTATGATAGTTGCCACGCTTGGCAAGCGGTTTGGCAACCGCAGTTTTTTATATTTTACCTAGTCGTTATTAGGAAGACGCTGCTGCCCATCTGATTTGTTTCCCTCTGTCGCCTATTACGACATGCACGGGATGATATGGAGTATAGTGAATGTTCTTACATCGCCATTAAAAGGTGAGAGTAATGGTAGTATTATTTCTTATAGACACTTTTATTTATTCAGTGGTATTATGTTATTTTAAATTAATTAATGATTTTTTACTGAAGTGAAATGCATAAACTAAATGAAAACCGTGAGTTCCTCAGAAAAATATTGGTAAAATTAAAGAATTTGTACAACCGACTTCAATATAGGTAAATAAAATGAGAACATCACCAATTTAGTCGAAATCAATTAAATCTGCGAATATCGCGAAAAACTCAAGTGGCTTCCGATCCGTCTTCGCAAGAATACTCATATTCTTTCTCTTTTATACTGTAGGTATACTATTCAATCCCACTTCCCCTACTTACCTTAAAGAGCGGTTTGGGTTTCTTGGTGACACTCACTGTCGCTCTCTTCGCTCTGATAAAAACCTCACTCTAAAAACTCCATCTCATAACACTTCCTTCTATTCTAAATCCTTTTCTGTTGAAGCTGTTAGGCTCTGGAACTCCCTACCGCTGCACATTAGAAGTGCGCAGTCTATTGATAAGTTTAAAAAACTTGTCAAAGTGCACTTCTTTCCTCCTTAAATAGTTATTCCTCTAAAAAATTACTACCTACTCATTTTTCCTTACGTTTAGGCTTTGACTTCACTTGTTTAATCCTTTCTGCTCTCGTATATGTATGTATATATTATTGTATT